TATTATATTAATTATATAACTTATATTATACAAATGTAAAATATCTATGTTAGTGTATTACTAATTTAGTATATTAATATATTCTTATTATTAATTTATTATATATTATAATTTATAAAATTCAATTTTTTAAATATCATAAATTTTTATGTATAATTATTTTAAATTATTTTATATTTTGAACAATAACGATTCGAACACGAATGAATGCATCACTGTTCGTGTTTGGTTCGTTTAACTAACCAAACGAAAAAAATTTGTTCATGTTTGTCTTGTTTATTCATCGAACGAATCAAACACGAATTCATTAACGAACCGAACATGAACTATTCGCAAACAACGAGCTTTTTTGACAGCCCTGATTGCAGCGAATTTTAAAATGCTATAATTTTTAGCGCTGCAAAAATTTTTGGCGACGATTTTAAATGTTTTGACGAGTTTTTTTTTAATATTTTCAACGGTATTTTTTAAAAATACTTTTAAATAAGTCAATAAATATATTTTATTCAGAAAATTTGCCTAAAAATTTATTTTCTTAGTCTAATGGTGGGAAATAATTAGTTTCTCTGTGTCCACAAAATAAAATATTTGCCAATATTTAAAATATCCTAAAAGGTACAGTGAATAATCTCTTATTTTATGCTTCAAGTACTGGTTCTTAAAGATGGAGCATAAATCATTTTATTTTAATGGCTAACAGCTTTTTGCTTTTCAAACAGCTAATTTCAGGGCTGCCATGTGAATCAATGTGCTAAGCATCTGATTGTTTATATTAATTCTTAACAACGTATATGCAGCTGCTGCACGAATTTTCAAGCACATGAGATTTAGATTTATAAATTTCGTTGATCAAAATTGCATGCATATGCTGATGATTAACAGCTTTTTGCATGTTGTTCTAATTTTATTTCCTGTCGGTAGATGAGCACTCCTAAAATTACAAAGTAGTCCCCACCCATGTCATATATGAGCATGATGTCACCTCTTAAAAAAGTTCTTAAGAGAGATGGACAACCCAGGACTTGAATATTATTCTTCGGCCCTACAACTAATCGATGTGGGACTTTTCCCGACGCCCTCGTCATGGATCGACTCCTCCGAGGGTTCCACTGGACCATGGAGTCTATACACCTGACAGACAGTAATCTCTTCTGATACCACTTGTCATCTCTCAAAAGAGCCTTAAGAGAGGCGCGCAGCCTAGGGCTTAAATACTGTTATTCGGCCCTACATCCCGGGAGCTGAAGTTTTTCAATATAATATTGTTATCTAATTATATGTACAGAACTTAACCACATAGGCCATGGATATAAACAAATAACTAATATCTCTTTCCAGTAAATTTTAATCATGCAACTAATTTATTAAGCCTAAACTTTAAATGTGGCCTCGGTTATCTATCCTTTTCACATCCAAGCTCCCAGAAATGGGAAGCAATCAACATGAAGAATTTGGTGTAGGAGGTGGAAGATCAGCAAGCTCTTCTTCAAGGAAAACAAAGAAGAACAGCCAAGCAAAGCAGCCAAAGCTGCCACAAAGAGGACTGGGAGTTGCTCAGCTTGAAAAGATCAGAATTCAGAGTCAGATGATGGCTACTTATAATCTCCAATCACTTCATCATCCCTTTCATTCTAATCCAACCATGGTTTGTATACATCTCAGATGAACTGCCTCATCATCTATATCATTGAAATATAAATTAAATATGTATTATGATATATATTCAATAGGAGGAGCCTATAACTTCATCCTCACTTAATGGTGCAGCAAATTCAGTGTTCAGTGTTCATCCCAATTTCTTGGTTTTTTTCTATCTTAAATTAATCAATTTATAGTTTTTTATCAGCCTTTTTTTCTAATTTTTATTAAGTTGGGTTTATGTATGGTTTCAGATGAGCTGTGGAGAAAATATAGTTAGTGCAGATACAAGATTTGGAGGCATGCAGTCTAGTAAGGCTAGGTACATGGATTTACACCTTAGGCTTTATATTATTTACACTTATTGTCTGTATGGTTATATTTGTGTGCCAATATATACTTATGTTTGTATTTATTTGTTAGGTATTTAGTACCAGATCATGAGGTTAATAGTGTGCCACAGGGAGATCATCTTCAGCCTGTGACTCGCCCACTCATGATGGTAAGAATATAAAGTAGCTAATATATATAGCTAATGCTTAGAATTTCATTAGGGAATTGCAATCACATTTTAGGATAATTTGCTGAGGTTAAAGGCTTGATAAGTAAATTTGCAAGGAATCTTCATATACTTTTTTTTTAAATCATTTTTGTGCAATTAATTTTCATTAAATAAAATGAGAATTGCAAAAATAAATCTAACTGTTCAAGTATATACTCTGTAGGAATCAAATCATTTGTACTTTAAAGAAAAGGAAATGAGAGAGGTTACATGAGTATAAAAAATGAAGCAAGTAAAGCATAATTTTATAGAAGAAAATCAAGGAAAAATGGAATTAGTGGTGCAATTATCTACTAGGTGTAGTGGGAGAGGCAACTAGCTAGCATTATTACTTGACACTAATGTGGTCATTTTAAGCAAATGTTTTGATAATGCATTTTAAAGGCTAGATTTTATGAATAGTTGATGAAGCTTCACATATTTTTTGAGAGGTGAATGGCCTTATTAGTGAGAAATCAATCAATAATAGAAGTAGGTTGTATGTCTGGTGGAGATGTGGGCGAGGAGAGAAAAACCTCTAAAAGAAATTCGGCAACTAGAAGAATGTCCATAATCCTCCATAATATTAAATTAGATTTGTCTTTGCATTCATTAAAAGGATAATAGTGGGTTGATTCTCATAGAAAAAGTTTTAAAATTTCTTGAACTACATCCACCTAAGCACCTTAATTAGGGTTAGGTTATCTTCAAGTTTAGATTGAAGTATCAACTAAGGTATTATTCATTGAGTTGTCTTCTCCAAATAAGTAGCTATGCCTATTAAAATTTGGCTTTTTTAAACTGGATGGTGTGAGATTAGAACAAATTAAATGGATCCTAAACAATAGACGGAGGAACAAAGTTAGGGACATTTACATACATACCGCACAATTCTTATGTGTTTACATGTCTAACATACAGTATTTCATATTTGCAGCCATAACACTTCAATAATATTAAATATCATTATTACTTTTTAAAAGTAAAATGTACATTTTTATGAATAAATTTATGACACCGAAGTGCTATGAATATAAATATGAAAGCCTTAGTGTTAGATATGTAAAAGCATGAGAAACATGTCATATGTACTTAAATTTCCCTATTCATTTTCAAGCAGAAGCTTGAAACATTCAACAGCAAAATTTCCTTGTAACATGAAATCTGACTAAAATAAGGGAAGTTTAAAAGATGACCAAACATTGATGCAAAACAGAAAAGAATATTGTGATTAATGAAGTATGCTCTCAAAAGAATATCACTTAAATTATCCATGTGAGCATTATGCAACAACCTCAATTATGCACTTACGTTTAGCTAGCATGGAAGAATTTTGACATATAAATCATCAATTTTCATAGTAGTCCATGATCAAGTTCCAGTCAGACTTGATTATTCATTTGAGTCGCCGAATGTAAGGAACCATTTCGAATATCCCATGTTCGATTTATCAAAGAGAAGTTTGATCGAACACATAACAAATAAAGAGATACAACTTTTACAATTTGATTCTATCAATGATAGAAAACTAAAATTATAGATGAATAAAACCCATTTTGATTCCATAAAAACATAAAGTCAATCGAATAACATAAATGCGGAAATATTCATGTAAATAACATGTCTCCGGCCATTGATTTGAATACGTTCATCATTGATTTGAAAATCTTCTAAAACTTCTTCTCTCCAATTGATGGTGTATGATTTCCTTAAGAAAAAAAAGGCTTAAGGGCCCAAAATCATAAATAATTTTGTTTTATTTCTTCCCTTTAAAGAAAAACTACATAATAATAGTTATCATAACTACTTTCACATTAATTTGCACCGTAATTTATTAGCATTTAGCAAAATGTTTAATTTATTGTAACTTATGTAAGTTACATTAACAAATTACATTCTCAATATCGGCCTAAATTGTATCTCAAAAATAATAAATAAATTCATATATCTCAAAAACCCTAAACTTAATGATATTTTTCATACACTTAAATGTGTACGCATAATAACGAAAAATATGCAAACAACAGAACCAAGTAGAGTTTCATTAATCACTCTAGAATTTAGGAAAATTGTCGGCGGGCAAATCTGACGCTTATTTAGGGATATTTTGTCGTTAAACTTAATTTGTATTGGATTTGTGTCGAGAATGAGGTGAATAATGCAATTGACATCGCACATGTCCAACACAAGTTGTTTATGTCAACCTTAGCGTTCGGCAGGCTGGTAACAAGCTTCGATGCGGTACACTCCAACTGAAAGAATAAATAGATTCAAAAAATGACGCTATATACATACATATATATATATATATATATATATATGTATGTATGTATATAGCGTCATTATTTGAATCTAATTAGTCTTTCAAATATGTTATTTAGCATCAAAGTATATCAAGCAACGTTGAAAAAATAAGTGTTATTAGCATCAATATTATTGACGCAAACCTCTAACAAATTATATATATATATATATATATGTATATATATAAACAAACACACACACACACACACATACATATGTGCCACCCGTCGTGGCCTTTTGGTAGAGCAGTCTCTTTGAAGGTCGTAAATCCCCTCAGGTCACAGGTTTGAATCCCCCTCTGGCCACTTTGCCGCTAGTGAGGGCGATCCTCGAATAGTAGGCACATGAGGGTGGTTGGGCGCTAATATAATAACCTCCGACCATTCTTTTATATATATATAAGAACGATCAAATTTTCACAACATACACACAAGGAATATATATCACTAGCAAGTACCATCACAAATAAGAATCTATAGAACTATCAAGTGCCAACAATGAAAACAAACATATTTTAACGAATATTAATCTAAATACGAAAAATTTTATAGAATAAATGTTCACATTATCGCAAATAAAAAAAACACATAAACTCCCATGATGGGGGAACATCATCAATGTCATAATCATCCTCAAGCTCCTTTCCCTCCTCCACCTCCTAATCCACATAAGTCATGGTGTGTTTACTAGGACAATCTACAAAAGTCTCCATCATTCATGCAAGGGTCTCCTCAATGCTGTTAGTCTTCACACATCCAATCATGCATTTGGCAGATCTCTTCATTCATAGGTGTGACCTGCCTGACAAATTCCTTAAATTATGCTCCAATAGTAACAACCATGAGCTACCCACATGAGTATGAGAGTGTTCAACCTCAAATATTATGCCCTTCGAACTCAGACCATAAACCCTCCCTTTCTTCTTTCTTGTCGCTTGCCTCCAAATCTCAAAATCACATACACAGTGGTAGATTGGCTACCACTGATGTTGGCACCCACTTGATTTTGGCTCTTTAACTCCCTCTATAACTTCCAGATCTGCGTGTAATCCTTAATTGAAACTAAGAAGTTGTCATTTTTAACATTAATAGACTTAAAAATATAAAAAATTAATTTTGTTTAATAGACATACCAGGATGTCGTATACACATTCCTACATCCCTAGGCGTCGATGCATCCAGACATACAACTCTGCAGTGGTGGGCACCCAGTCAAGCTTCTAAGCCTATGTACATGAAAAAATGGTAAGTACCATAAAATTTGCATCGACAATTGAATTGTTAAATAATTAGAGAATCTTACTGTCCTGTGGTAGTGCTCTGTATGGGGGACCGAGACTCAATTGTGGAGTGTGGTGCCTTAGCTTCCTTGATCCTCATGTTTTGCTGGTTTGTTTGCCTCTTCTTCTAATAATACGAAGAGGCCCAAGCTATGGTCAATTGATCCTAGACCTTCTTCCCCACCCATATGGGTCACTCCCCCTTTCTTAGGGCTATGGTGGACATATCACCCAGTTGATATCTGTCATAAACCTACTAAAAAATGTGGAGGATCTTCTGGTGATGTTTCTATGGTCAGTAGAAGGACCTATGTAAATTAAAAATTATGTAATGTTAATTAGTATAACAAAATAACTTAACTTTAGTATTCTAATTCAAATGAAATGATTCTACCTCAAATCCTTGAAACCACATGCCCCGAGTCGCAATTGGGATCTACTTCTACAAAAGATATGCAATATTATATCTACTTCAGATGATCTCCATGATGCATGCCACGGGCTGCTTGGGGGGAGGGGGGGATAAATTTGAAATAGAAATATTAATTACACAAAATATTAAGATGAACATTGAATTTATTCTATTGTTAAAGATAACTAACGAATCTCCCTCAGACATAATATATACCGGCACGAGGTGTCCTACTTTAAAAGGGCGGTAGATGAGGGGCCTAGCACATCAAAGGAGGGAGCTGGTGGCTATGTTGGAGTTGGTGTGGGTGTGAAAGCTAATGCATGAGTGGGAGCTGATGTAAGAGGGGTTGGCGGTTATAAAGGAGTAGCAAGACTGATCATAACAGTGACAACATTTACGGGCGGAGTTGTAGTAGTAGTGATGTGGCTAATCAATACAACACTAGTGTTGAGTCTGTCAGAGTAAACAACTAGCTTCTTCATCCTACTATAAGCACTCTCTATAGTGCCCTAAGAAAGAGGTCGCTGAGGTGGCTTTCCACCAGTACCATATGATGCCATCTATAATAGGAAAAAAATATTAATAAAATTTTTACTAACAACAAAAGTGAGTAGGAGAAGTTTAATACAAGCAACACAAGTGAAAGTAGAAAAGGTGCAAAATAAAATAAAAAATATGTTGCAACTACGTGTAAAAATAAAAAAAAATTACTTAAAAGAAGTATAATATAAGTAGCAAAAGTAAAAATAGAAATGTGCAAAATCAAAATAGAAAGCATGCCTAAACTACGTGTAAAAATAACAAAAGTGAAAAAAAAAATCATCTCGCTATATACACCATTTCTAGTTTGTTTTATTAGATGAGTTAATTGATGATGAACTTAAAATTTCTTCTTTAATATCTGCATCATTGTCTTCCATATTTTGAGAAGCTTCTTCATAAGTTTCATGGTATCCTTGAGGG